GGCATAAAACAACAAAGGGTTTAAATGAATGAAACTGTCACGATCTGGTACAGGGATTCAAACGCAGAGTGGTAAGGTATCTCCAAGGTGTAGTTTATTTACAGTGCCAGTGCAATATATGTACAGTGAAGGGATCCAAAACTCCGGGGGAATCACAGGGTAACAGTGCCAGTGCAATATATGTACAGTGAAGGGATCCAAAACTCCGGGGGAATCACAGGGTAACTCGCTCACGTCTTCTTCGCTCACACTCACACACGTTCCCGCAGCAGGGAGGTCGCAGGTCCGGGGGGGAAGATCTGAGGCAGACGAGAAGGCAGGTCACCAACTAATCACAAATCACGAATATGAAGCACAAGAGCTGTGAGAACACTAACGTTAGGGGTACAATCATCCAGCGACGAGAGGATCTGTGTTCCAGCCTCAAATAGTGCTCCCGGTGATGATGGGTGAGTGTTGTCAGGTGTGTGTGTGGGCCAAGGGCGGGAGCCCACAGTGAGCTCCGCCCAGGCAGAGAGGGAGAGAACAGAAACAGCAATTGTAGCCTTGTGGGGCCGACCAGGCAGGCACGGAGACCATGACAGAAACAAATGGCAACTACACCTCTTTTCCCATAAATGAGATAAACAATATAATTCACATCATCATGGTAGTGTCTTATCATAGAAAGGAAACTCTACTTTCAACATTACTGCACTACTTTCCTTGCCAGCATTTTTGTTGGCCGTACTCTTATTAGCGCTCTCGCTTCATATGTCTTTTTCAGACCAGTTAGATTCTAACACTGAAACAGCAAGTTTACACATGACTTCAGGCGGGCTCAGAACACTTTACACACACGTTATACAAAACATTTGTCATGAACACAAAGCTACAAGTTTATCAGGAACTGTAAACCCAACTGGGTTGGTGCTTCTTATTATTATATGGAGTATTATACGCAGTTGCAACAGCTTGCTAGCGTTACCCAGGCATGCAGCCTAGCTATAACATCCTACAGAGCTAAAGTAGCTCACATAGCGACAGTATAATACATCACATATCACAGACCCGTCTTATGTCATGAAAGTTTATGTCATGGATTGCCGGGGCAAGCCGTGTGGAATGTAGAAAAGGACCCAAAAGGCAGCAGCTCTGGTGCAGGTGAGTGTTTATTTACAGGGGTGTAAGTACAAACAGTGGTGGCGACAAAACATGAAACCGGAAACCTAAACTGGGTAAACTAATAAGACAAACCAGAATGAGGATGCAGGGAGGTCCGGAGAAATACATACGGGGAGACCGAGGGGAAACAACACAGACGAACCAGCGATTACTAAGACAGAAAATACAACTTAAATACACTCAGAACACAGGGAGATTACACACAGGTGGGAGACACAGCTGGGAGTGATTAACATGACGAGACCAGGGAGGCAAACTGAAAACACTCACATAAGACGCAGACCTTCACAATAAAACAGGAACACGCGGGGGGAACAGGGTAAACACCAATTAGAGGAGAACAGAACCAAAATCGCGAAGAGAAAACACAAAACGCTGGGTCAAAAGGACCCAGGATCATGACAGTTTAAGTATCACAGTGTCCAACTGTGTATTTCTTTATGTTTTTGACCACATTACTGACCTGTAAAACAGGAGAGAAAGTGAACACAGGAGACACGCTGCCGTTCGCCTGGTCAGTCTTGCCAGAATGGAAAACTTACGGCAGCTATGCACCCGACTCAGTTCCCAAAGCACGCTGCCTCCCCCTACTGTCCAAAGTGTTATACACTCTCCTGGCAACAGGGAACTTACATGACATTGTGGCTTTAAATTACACCAATAAACCAGCAAAATAATACATGCATAATAATCTCTATATATCACGACACTTAACTCACAATTGTGACCACATTTCTGTGTGGATCACAGTAGCAGCAAGAGTGCTAGAGCCAGAGCTGGGGAGAGGCGAGCTATAACAAACCATTTTGGGAAGGGGGTATCTATACTTTTGTTGTTGAAATGTTACGTTTCAACCAAGTACTGTAATCTTTTTATAATTTTAGTAGTGTGTCACACAAACAGCAAATATTGTGAAAAAAAAGCAAGAAATCTTTGGGGGTGCGTTGCCCAAAAATGGGCTAAAATCGCCCCTGCATAATGGGCTTGGATTTACAACATTATAAATGAAATGTGCTCTATGTGCCCTTACTCCCAAGAAATGGGAGTAAGGGCGATAGAGAACTGATTGGTGCCTATGCCATTCCCAATATGTGCTGGCTGACGTCGGGGCAGCATGAGTACGAGCATTTTTTATTTTTTTTTGCCGATGCCCGTGATGCCGCCCCCCACCACGATGCCGCCCGTATCTAAAACCTCATTCAAGTCTGTCCCGTATCTAGCAAGTGAAAATAAAAAAAATAAAATAAACAATAAAAGGTGAATCAAATAGACCATTACGGCAAGGCCTGGATGGTCCATTTGGTAAAGTAAATCCGTTGGGCATCTTTCTTCGCCTTTAGACACTAATTCTGATGGCAAAAGAGCCAAACGGGAAAGGCAAAAAACACACACAAAAAAAACAAAAAAACAAAAGAATTACACAGACTGAATGAAGCTTGATGTGAATTTTATCTATACGTGAGTGAATGTTTAAATGTGATTTAAATGTGAACTCTTAATGTTAAGAGTAACAAATGTAGTGTAAAGAACTGATTTTAAAGTTTAAAAGGTTAAACCTGTTTTAAATCATGTAAGTCAGGTAGATAGACAGAGATAAGGTGTGAGTGGACATCGGATGATTAAAGTCAACAACTTGAATGCCCAGCTGAGTGTCTCTCTAGGCCTGGCTGTGCTCATCCCTCCTTCAACCTCTCCTCCCCAAAAATAAAAATAAACTTACAGATTCTTAGTTAGATTAGTAAAGTATAATTGATTTCAATATTTTTTGTGATTTTCATTATTTTATTATGCTATTGTGTTGCTGAATTCCATTAATAAAATTTCCTGCAATTCAAGCCTAAATTGTGGACATTCACTTTTTGACCTTTAGTGAAGCAGTAAAGGTAGAAATCCAGGATTATTTTTATTAGTGCAAATACCTCTCACAGGTTACCCCGTCTTCCAAGCTACTAAAATAATACCAGAAATAACAAGTGCCATGTTAAATAACAGGTTAACAGGTGAGACTGATGGGCTACTCAGGTTACGTCTTATCAGGGTTAGCATGAAAAACACCTGGCTGATTTAGAGGTAGTCAGTACTGGGCGAGTCCCCTCAACCACATCAGTGCCAGAATCCTACATTATCCACTGGGGAAGACTCATAGGATCAGGGATTAGGACTTTTTTTTTAAATCAGCGAGCTGAAATCAACTTCCTGTATAGGGGTTTTGTGGGCCTACAGATTGACAAGTTGAGTCAATTAAATAACTGAGACTTCCATTTCTGACCTAGAATGGTCACTCCTCCACCGCTCCAGAAATGTCATGAATCGCTGTGCGGCAGGCAGGAGTTGGACCCAAAATGCAGGACTCACAGACTCGGGGAGGTGAACTCAAAACACAGCTTTATTTGCTGGTAGAACAAACATACAAACTAGACTAAACTGGGAAACCATAAACTAAGAACACACAGGGAGATCCACACACAGCATGAGGGACGACGTCACGCCGAACAGAGGGAGACGCAGACAGAAATACACAGAGGGTTAACGAGGAAAGTGGGAACACACGGGGAACACAGGTGACACTGATAATCATAACGAGACAGGGCGGGGTGAACTGAACATGACACGTACGGGCGTGAGAGTCACAAAGTAAACAGGAAGTGCACAGAGGTTCAGACAGGAGGAGAGAGAGCACGGGGAAAACACAGACATAACGGGCTGGGGAAACATGAAACAACCACAAAGGGAGACGAGGGCTCATAAATACACAGGGCACACAGGGGGGGGAGAGAGAGCACGGGGAGAACTTGGACATAATGGGCAGGGGAAACATGGAATAAAACATAAGGCCTAAATAAGGAACAAAATACAAACATACAAGAAAACTAAGAACACTGGGCCAACATGGCCCAGGACCATGACAAGAAATCGTTAATCAGAGCCATTGTTAGTCATTCCGACTGCAGCACACAAGCTGCCAATCGAACATAACGTCACACCACAACTCTCTCATAGCGGATGCTGTGCAGGTGCGTCCGCACGACACCGCTGACCATGCCTCACCACACTCATTTATTTCTGATGGCATAATGTCATTCTTCAATTTGGATTTATCCAAATAAGAGTGTGCATAGCCAAATTACAAAAAAAAAAAAATCTTCCACTAAGGCTGCATTACAAGCTTCAGAAGTATACAAATTTTCATAAAATGACTGAACTGAATATTAATATAATTTGGGGTGGTAAGTATGTTTCCACATTCATCCTTTATTGCTGTAACAATGAGGATTATTTTTTATTAGTGCAAAAAGCTCACACAGGTTACCCTTCCTTCAAAGCTACTAAAATTATACCAGAAATAACAAGTGCCATGTTAAATAAGCTACTCATGTTACGTCTTGTCAGGGTTATTATGGAAAACACCTGGCTGATTTTAAGGTAGCCAGTACTGGGCGAGTCCCCTCACCCACATCAGCATCAGAATCCTGCATTGTCCACTGGGCAAGACTCATAGGATCAGGGATTAGGACCTTTTTTTTTTTAAATCAGCGAGCTGAAATCAACATCCTGTATAGGGTTTTGTGGGCCTACTGATTGACAAGTTGAGTGAATTCAATAATTGAGACTTCCATTTCTGACCTAGAATGAACAGAGAGAGAGAGATTAGGATACAGTAAAAGAATCCCAAGTACAACATATCCAAAAGGAATTTAGAAAAGAGAGAGAGGCAGGCCTACAAGAAGAAAATAGTGAAGCTTTAGGCCAAGACGAAGGGAAGGGGGAAATCAATGTCCAATAAAAACTGAAAGAAAGAAGAGGGGGGGAGTTGAGAGGATGTGGTGTTGGGATCAGTTATATTACTAATTGTAGTCATAACTCTGCCAGAGCTGGAGCTCTCTGCAGGTCTGTGGAGATGGATACTCAGGATGGAGCAGAGCTCTGCTTTCCACAACTCTTCAACATCTCCTGCAAGAAACCTACAACTCCTCTGTCTCAAGTTTTGCTCCTTTATATTGTTGTGTCCTCAATGTCTCTGCTGACTGTGACTCTCAACCTGCTCGTCATCATTGCAGTCTCCCACTTCAGGCAGAGTTTCATATTTTTTACCTGCTGCTGTGGCTTTACAAGTGTATACCTGATTTGTTATATCTGTTTGAATACTTTCTTTCTGTTGACTTCTGTTTTTAATTATATTTTCCTATCTTTCTAGGCAGCTCCACACACCCACTAACATCCTGCTCCTTTCTCTGGCTGTCACTGACTTTCTCGTTGGTCTTCTGTTTATGCCTGGAGAAATCCTGCGAAATACAGCGTGTTGGTTTCTTGGTCAGCTCACATGTTCATTGTATAATTATGTATCCTACATCGTTGCCTCTGCCTCAGTGGGCAACATGGTGCTGATATCAGTCGACCGCTATGTGGCTATTTGTGACCCTCTGCATTACCCCACCAGAATCACAGAGGGAAGAGTGAAACTCTGTGTCTGTCTGTGTTGGCTCTGCTCTGTTTTCTACAGCTATGTGATTTTAATAGATGATCTAAGTCAACCAGTCAAGCATAAATCTTGCTATGGAAGATGTATAATTTTCATTGAATTTATTGCAGGATTTGTTGACCTTGTTTTAGCCTTTATTATTCCACTTACTGTCATCATAGTTCTGTACATGAGAGTGTTTGTGGTGGCTGTGTCTCAGGCCCGTGCCATGCGCTCTCAGGTTACAGCTGTCACACTGCAGCTCTCAGTGACTCTAACAGCAACTAAATCAGAGTTAAAAGCAGCCAGGACTCTGGGTGTTCTTGTTCTTGTGTTTCTATTATGTTTCTGCTCATATTACATTATTTCACTTTTTGGAAACGAGTTGCTCAATAGCTCATCTGCATCGATTGTGATCTATATGTACTATTTTAACTCCTGTCTAAACCCTTTGATTTATGCTATGTTCTACCCCTGGTTTAGAAAAGCAGTGAAACTAATTGTGACTCTACAGATACTGCAGCCTGGCTCCTGTGAGGTCAGCATACTGTAGAAAAAAGAAATCATTCCTTAATGTACCAAATGGTATATCAAATTACTTTCTCTATCAATAATGTACTATATTAATTTTAAGACATTTAACAAGTAACATGCCATACATTACATTTCTTGAGTAATAACCCCAACACTGGTTGTCAAATAGTGCTGGTTTCAATTATAGAGGCCTAGAAAAGGGTTAACAACCCACTGGCAACCTCCTGTCACTAGCAACAAAATGTGCATTCTGATACTGTTTGCCGAGTGGTTGCTGGCTATCACTGGGTCAGACTGGTTGAAAACAGTGTCACAAAAAACCTCGACATGATTGTTTTAATCACCAAAATGTTGCTGTGGCTACTCAGAGGGAAGATTCCAGGTTTTCAAGTTTGCCTTGTTACCAGGCAGCTGCAAACCAGTCTTTAGTGTGATGAATCCTGTGTGGAGTGTATCTTGAGACCTGGGGTAGAAAGAGATTGCAATGCCCCCCTGGGTACCTTTACATCACAGCTAACAGATGCTAAAAAAGTCTTAATATCCAGCTTTATGTGACTGAAAATTATCAGAGTGTGTGTGTGGGTGTATGTGTGTGCGGTTGAAGCAACACTCTGAAGACACTAATTTGAGAGTCTGAGTTACAAAATGTGTGATTTAATAAAATAAGTTTCATGAAAGAAATAAATTGTGATTGACAGCAGAGTTTTTAAAAAGTGACAGAAATTCTTAATATGAATTTTAATTATTGAGGGATTGCGTTACAATAAATGTTCAAGTGAAAATGTGCTACACACAAATTAATTCATGTAGAATTACACAAACTGAAAAAACGGAGGGAGAGGTAAGTGACGGAAGTGATGGACAAGGTAAGCGACTCATGCTGTAACTGACGTCAGACGCCAGAGACTTTGGCGGAAAATTAAAGCGAATGGTAGTTTAGAATTGAACAAAGTTTCTTTAAGCTTCAGTATTACCAGATATACTAATCAATTGTCATATAACTAACAACATCTGTCCTATCATCTCTAATACCCTGGAGAACAACGGGGAGAGTTTAGACGTTCTCCAAGATTACATCGACCGCTGTTTCCAAGATTTAGTCATGAAGAAGGCTCAGAGTGTGTAGAACATCTCACTAATATTGTTCATTAATGCTGCTTTAATATACAGTACCTGTTCCGTGTAGTACGCTGCGCACGCACGCAGTGAGACAGCACAAAGGTGAGACCCGCCCCCCGGGAGTGAGGTGGCTTACGTGTAATGTCTGCTCAGTTACACAGTAAACAAAGCTTGCTAGTAATCACGAATCCAGATTCTTTACTGAACATCAAACAGAGTGCATCTTCCTCGGCCAAAATTGAGACACCGTCATCGAAGAGATGTCGCCCGGCAGACTTCCCCGGCATAACATCGCCTGCCGGCAAAGACATTGCAGGCATCCAGGAGTCAATCGACAAGCGATTGTCCATTTTCGATGCGAGGCTGTTCCTGGGGGAGATTTTACACCGGGAATTTAAATCTCTGCGAGAATCCCTGGAGTTCAGCCAGCAGCAGGTGGAAACGCTTGCCGCTGAAAATGCCACGCTACGGGAGTCGGTCAAATCTCTCACCGATAACGTGACCCAGCTAAACATAGAAAATAAAAAAATAAAAGAGTCTGTTATCGATCTACAATCCCGTAGCATGAGAGACAACCTTGTGTTTTCTGGTATTCCAGAATCTGCCGGAGAGGACGCTGAGGCAATGGTGAAAAGCTTTATTAAAATCCACCTGAAGCTGCCAGAGGACACCGTAAAGAACATCGCCTTGATAGAGTGCATCGCTTGTGGGCCATGAGGTCGCCGGCTGGGAGAGCACATCCTATTGTGGCCAAATTCAGCCACTTCAAACAAAAGGAACAGGTGAAACGCCGCGGCAGGGAATTAAAAGGAACGGACTTCAGCGTGAACGACCAGTTCCCCAAAGAGATCCTGGAACGACGCAGGGTCCTCTTCCCAATATTTCCGGGGGGTTTTTTGTTTGGTTTTTTTTCCTTCTCGTTTTTTTCCTCCCTCTCTTTCCCCCTCTTGTTTTTATGCTGCTCACACTTGTCCTTGGTTTCTTTCTTTCTTTATTTCACTGCTTCGATCACCTGCTTCCACACTCATCCACAAACAACATCCTTTATTTCGACACATACGCACAGCACGATCACGCACAATCATGCGCTCAACGGCAGCACATTTACATCAGTCAGACAGCGTACGCAGTCATATAGGATACACACACTTAAGCCAAGCGTACTCATATTAGTAAATATGCACACACATAGTCGGACTCAGGGAGCATCTCGCCACACATTTTTTCTCTCTCTCCTTCTCTTTATTCATGAACAAGTGATGTATTCTCTCCACCTGTCTAGGCGACACACACAGCGTACACCCCTAGTTATACACAGACATCTATGGGGCCACTGAGGTTTGTTACATGGAATATGAATGAAGCTGGCTCCAGAGAAAGGAGGTTAAAAATATTTAACCAACTCAAAAAACTACAGGCAGATGTTGTCCTTTTACAAGAGACCCACAGACCTCTTAGAGGTTCGAATGAACTTAAAACACCTGAGTTTCCTAATGTGTTCTCAGCTTGTTATAATTCTAGACAAAGGGGAGTAGCAATTTTAATACATAAAAATATTAAATTTCACAGTACTCGATACAGTTTTAGATCCAGAGGGCAGATTCTTAATCATTAAACTATCTATACTTGATAAAAGCTATGTATTGCAAGTGTATACAGGGAGTGCAGAATTATTAGGCAAGTTGTATTTTTGAGGAATAATTTTATTATTGAACAACAACCATGTTCTCAATGAACCCAAAACACTCATTAATATCAAAGCTGAATGTTTTTGGAAGTAGTTTTTAGTTTGTTTTTAGTTTTAGCTATTTTAGGGGGATATCTGTGTGTGCAGGTGACTATTACTGTGCATAATTATTAGGCAACTTAACAAAAAACAAATATATACCCATTTCAATTATTTATTTTTACCAGTGAAACCAATATAACATCTCCACATTCACAAATATACATTTCTGACATTCAAAAACAAAACAAAAACAAATCAGCGACCAATATAGCCACCTTTCTTTGCAAGGACACTCAAAAGCCTGCCATCCATGGATTCTGTCAGTGTTTTGATCTGTTCACCATCAACATTGCGTGCAGCAGCAACCACAGCCTCCCAGACACTGTTCAGAGAGGTGTACTGTTTTCCCTCCTTCTAAATCTCACATTTGATGATGGACCACAGGTTCTCAATGGGGTTCAGATCAGGTGAACAAGGAGGCCATGTCATTAGTTTTTCTTCTTTTATACCCTTTCTTGCCAGCCACGCTGTGGAGTACTTGGACGCGTGTGCTGGAGCATTGTCCTGCATGAAAATCATGTTTTTCTTGAAGGATGCAGACTTCTTCCTGTACCACTGCTTGAAGAAGGTGTCTTCCAGAAACTGGCAGTAGGACTGGGAGTTGAGCTTGACTCCATCCTCAACCCGAAAAGGCCCCACAAGCTCATCTTTGATGATACCAGCCCAAACCAGTACTCCACCTCCACCTTGCTGGCGTCTGAGTCAGACTGGAGCTCTCTGCCCTTTACCAATCCAGCCACGGGCCCATCCATCTGGCCCATCAAGACTCACTCTCATTTCATCAGTCCATAAAACCTTAGAAAAATCAGTCTTGAGATATTTCTTGGCCCAGTATTGACGTTTCAGCTTGTGTGTCTTGTTCAGTGGTGGTCGTCTTTCAGCCTTTCTTACCTTGGCCATGTCTCTGAGTATTGCACACCTTGTGCTTTCGGGCACTCCAGTGATGTTGCAGCTCTGAAATATGGCCAAACTGGTGGCAAGTGGCATCTTGGCAGCTGCACGCTTGACTTTTCTCAGTTCATGGGCAGTTACTTTGCGCCTTGGTTTTTCCACACGCTTCTTGCGACCCTGTTGACTATTTTGAATGAAACGCTTGATTGTTCGATGATCACGCTTCAGAAGCTTTGCAATTTTGAGACTGCTGCATCCCTCTGCAAGATATCTCACTATTTTTGACTTTTCTGAGCCTGTCAAGTCCTTCTTTTGACCCATTTTGCCAAAGGAAAGAAAGTTGCCTAATAATTATGCACACCTGATACAGGGTGTTGATGTCATTAGACCACACCCCTTCTCATTACAGAGATGCACATCACCTAATATGCTTAATTGGTAGTAGGCTTTCGAGCCTATACAGCTTGGAGTAAGACAGCATGCATGAAGAGGATGATGTGGACAAAATACTCATTTGCCTAATAATTCTGCACTCCCTAACATAGCTGTGTCGCTAGCGATTACGTAGCACATCATTATATATCAGCTAGCCCAACTTCAGTAACCCTACAAACGTCACTGCTGTTTAGTTTCCTGTCGTCATTTATGTTGGAAGTGATAGCAGAGCTGTACGTTTGAATTTTATCAGAAATCTCTCAGTCAGAACATGCAATATCATGCTTAGGTAACTAGCGAAACTAGCGAGCTAACTTCTGCTAGCTTCCTGTTAACTTCTAACTCCGTTAAATGTAATAAATTTTGTTTTCATGGATGCCTGGAAGTTAAACTTCATACCTGCTAAAGCAGCAATGCTGATCGTTTTATTAAAGATGAAAGAATTTAGACAGTTTTTAACTCTCAGTGATGCTGTAGTGTTCGTTTGACCTGAAGCGTACGGAGTTTAGGACCCAGATTACTGCCAGATTTAAGAGCGTCTTAATCCGACAAATACAGTGGAGCAAAAAAGTATTTAGTCAGCCACCGATTGTGCAAGTTCCCCCACCTAAAATAATGACAGAGGTCAGTAAGTTGCACCAGAGGTACACTTCAACTGTGAGAGACAGAATGTGAAAAAAAAAATCCATGAATCCACATGGTAGGATTTGTAAAGAATTTATTCGTAAATCAGGGTGGAAAATAAGTATTTGGTCAATAACAAAAATACAACTCAATACTTTGTA